GGCCAACGGTGCCGGCCGCGTGCTTCTGCCTGTCTGTTAACCGTATAGTTTCGCGTTTAGTGAAAACGGGCAGTCGTGTGGTCCACCGTGAGATCGGAAACAAGTGGGTGACGCGAGTAACCAAGACGTGCGACAGACCTGGAGGGCTGCGAGGAATTCCTACGTTGCTGGAAGGATGGACGTTACCAGTGGAATGAGACCCATCTTCGGAGGATACCCGTTTCAAGGTTGGTACCGTTGCGCCAATCCTTCCGAAGTCTTTCTTTGTATCGATCCACTTCATTTTTTATCAGCTTCTCGGTTACATTATTCAAATAGACGATTAAGTCTCGAGAGATAAATTATGTCCGTTCATTGGTTACAAGAAGACGACAGAAACGATAGAAAATTCCAGGATGAATTGAGATGTGACGTTTGCAACATTGTCACTTTCACCTAGCTTTCCATCTGTGGGTCGATCAATGTGGCTTTGTGTATCAGATAATGCGAGCTTTACTGAAATGTCTCTTAAATATCGTAAGAGGTTTCAGATTGTTTCTGTGGAAGAAGACAGGTTGTAGTTGACGAGAGACCGAATGGCATTGAATTTAGCGTATGCGACGAATAAAATTGAAATTTGCATGTCACGTGGTATCGTCTCGTCAAAAATTGATAAATGCCTTGAATTTCCATTGAATGTTCCTTACCGGAATGTTTAGAATCATTTTGTTATCGTAACTTTTTTCTGCTTTCCCATTTATAGACTTGATCAATGTAGCTTCGCGCGTAGAATTGTACAAAGTGATTTGAGCGAGTGATTTGAGGATCGTAGCAGATTTCGGGTTTTCTTTTGCCACAAGAGAGATCGTATTCGACACGAGGCTGAATGGAATTCGAATTTCACGTATGTGACGAATAACATTGTAGTTTGGATTCCACGTGGTACTGTTTCGTCAGGAACCGATGGATACCTGCAGTTTTCACCGAGTGTTTCTTGGGCGAATGTTTGGAATTATTTCTTGAAACAGGGAAGTTGAATAGAATTGGAAATTAACGTATGTGTATGTGAAACTTTAATATCACGTGGTTGATATCTTCGAGGAAATAGAACCTTGAATCGTCCTTTAGTGTTTTCCCAAGAATGGACGTAATATTATGTTTCATAAAATATTATGTTTTTTTTTTTCTTTGCTATGACACATCGAAATTGAAGTTTGACGAATGTAACTAATAGAGTTGGAGTTTGAATGTCACGTGGTATATCTTTTTCTAAGGGACCGATAAAAACTGTAAACTCTCATTGGAATACGCTATAATCGTCGAAACATCGATAAATGTCATAGTAAACCCTTTCTCTCAATATATGTTCTTAGAAAAAAATTACTCGTAGGATTTGAACGTTGATTAGCATTTGCGTCGTATATACATTCTTTATTATTCCGCGTAGGAAAATCTTGAAAGAAACAGCTATTCGTCTGTATAATATAAATGCCTATAAGATTCAAGAAATTATCGATCTTGCAACGTGACACGGAAAAATTTATAGAGTTTAAAAATCATTCGTTGCTTGACAAGTGTTTATTGGTCAGCGTATAGGTACTTACCTATAGTATAAAAAAGTTTCAAAGGAAACTATCGAAACGACACAAGCACTTTTTACGATCCTGTTAAATCAAGACGTCTGAATGGTAAAAGAGCAATAAAGGTAATTGGAAGGATTTAGGTAGAAAAACCGGAATGTCCTCCTTACAAAACACAGTCTAAACGAATTGTTTTTAAAGTTGTTTCTTTTTCCGTGTTATAAATCACGCACAAATTCCTATACCATGGAAATTCAATTTTAGTTTTTCTTTGCTTTTTTTTCTTGTGGCCGTAATCGTGTGTATCACAATTAATTTGGATGGCCAAAGTTTTACTATACATATTGTTAAATTTGCCGAGCAAATATTTTATTTATACAAATACGGTTGTTGATCGTTTCTCGTATAGATTTGTCAAGAGAAAATATTCGTTCTTTGATATAAACGTATCCAGACGGGGAAAAATCAGAATACCTGTTTCGACAGTGAAAAAGGTGAAAGGAATTTATGTGACATTTGCATGACACGTGCAACAATATATATAAAGAGTAGGCCTAGTCACGCGTAACTTCTTTTATTCAATCAGAGAACGTACAAGATACTTTCGGATCATTATGCAGTCGTAATTCTGATAAATTCATTCTGCCTGTTGTAGTTACGCGAACAGATCGCAACTTGATGTGGCTACAATGATTGCTTTACCCTCGTTGCTTGATAAATATTCAATATTCGATCTCGCTGAACTCTTAATTAGCATTTGTATTATATCATTACAGGAAGACGTCACGAGATAGAATTTTAATTAATCGTATCATTAGAATTCTTATCTCATAGTCGCTGTGTAATACGCACGTCGAAAATATTAAATACACTAATTAAATTTCGAAGAATATTTTATCGCGATTAAAGAACGCGAGAAATCAAGTCTGTCGTTTGAAACAATTTGTTTATAAAATTGAGAATATTTCTGGTTACGGAAAGAGTTAGAAAATCAACGTGTAAATACAAAGAATAATACGATTTGTATTTCGAGTGGCAAAGATAGCGAACATTTTTAACAGAAACTATCTATCTACGTTTCAATCATCGATGATGTTTACCAATTCTACTTGAATTATAAAAATGAATATTTAAATTACGACTCCATTGAAATCACGAAGAAAACTTAAATTCTGAAGGTAATTGAAAGATTCCACGCCTCCCGCCGTTCGAAACCATCCATCACGATTTAAAACCGCTACTACCGAAACATCATTTATTCTTCGAATGAACCACATCACCGACACTCGCGTAATTGACATGCAAGTCCTCTGCTCTAGGAACTGACCGATTTCCCAACAACACTGACTCCGTACCAACAATATTTTACCAGCAGTCTTTTTCACCGCTCGTACATATACGAATAGAATAAACTCGCCAGCGTCGGGTATTAGAAAACCATCTTTTGCGCAATCTCTTGCACAAGCTGCCAACTTTCATACCGTGACATAAGACATAAGAGACACACAGAAGAGCACCATTATCTGCTTCCTTTTTCCACAACTTCCTCATCTTTTGTCTCTCCCTGATCTTTATACAGCCATTGTTTCACTAAGATTTTCTCTTGTTTTTTGTTAAACCGGCGCATATTAAATTACGTTCCCTTAAATAATTCCTTCAGAATATCGTATATTCCTTTATTCGTTGGGAATAAATTTTATACGATTCCTCGCGGATATGTAGAGACGTTACAAGAAAGAAGACGAAATTTCTTTACTAATTTTGGGAAAATATGTAGAAAATACTAAACTAAGATATCTCTTCTTATAGTGCTATTGTATCCTGTATTTTTGTATCTTTTACGAGAGATCAAACACGGACTAATTTTCAAATGGACCGCCGCAAGTGCAGAACCAGGTTTGCATAACTCGAACTATCTGTCGAACGTATAACGTTATACCTGGACGCTTTAGTTTTTTAATAATCACGATCAAACCTGTCTGAGAATTGTAACATCGCATCTTGTAAAATTTCTTACAAAGACCATTTTGAGTTTTGGTAAAAAATACGCTCTTCGAAAACGATGAAAGAATATCTCTCTCGTTTAATTAACTCAAACAACCTAACGTGTACCTAAATTTGCATATTTAAAGAAACAACGCGGAGATACTTCTCACATGTTCCATAAAATCGCCTTTGCATACCAATATTTCCGTACGATAATCCACTTATCAAGTTTTTATAGTTAATTAAAGGGCGTACCGATAAACAGCAATCCACGTGATTCGCCTATTATTCCGGCTCTCCAATGCTAATTACAAGCAACATAATCGAGCGTGATAATGAAAATAATATCGCGCACGAAAGGGTGGCTAATTGGACTAACGATATCGGATATTTGGGCCCCGTTAGCCTTCTGAAAATGGCCTTCTGTGAGCATAACTTCTTCAATTTTACGGTTGTTAGGCCCGTTTCGTTTTCTTTTTTTTCAGTATTCCCTGTTATCTGATTTCACGTTTGCGCCTTGAACGCGGATTTAGCCGCTAATTTCAAGCCCAATCACTGCAATTGCGTCTCTGAATTTTTTCCATCCCCGCTACGAAATCATGCTACTTTCTCGCGCAATTCTTTGCATCCTCATCGTCGATCGTTTTGCACCGTCTTTCATCCAGCAGCCGCGTAATTGAATATTCTTTGACCCTGGAGAAAATCTAGACACGATCCCTGTACCTGTGTCGAAGAATCCGAACGAACTAACTCGCGTGTCTATTAATCTCCTTGGCAATAGAATTTCACACGACTCGCGTCTATCTTTGATGGTTTGATTCACTTTCCACTTTTCAATCGCTTCTAACTTTTGGAAGAGCATGATGTTCCATGATCGGATATCGAAGTCTGCTCGGAAAAGTACGAGACGAGTTTCAAAACGTCAATTCATCATAGCTACTTGGAATATTTTACGTAAATCGAATGGAAACTTCGAGCGAGGATCTGTAGCACATTTTATGAATTAAAGTTGAATTATTCGTAAAGTATGGTTTAGTTAGTAGAACTGCTGGCAGATATTTCGTCGATACAACGTTCGACACAACAAGTACCTTAAATTTTATGAAACACTGTAACTTAAAAATTGTCTTTTCTCAAAAAACTGTTAAACGTACAAATTGTTTTCGTTCGATTCGTACTTGCACGATTGTAAAGAAATAAATCCTACACAGAGACTGGTTCTATCTAAATTTTATAACGATTTGCTACGCTCTGAATATTTTACGTATTTCTGATGCATCGCATGTGTTTCAATTTCCCATAAATTCTATCAATTTTCCATAAACATACGCTACAAAAGTAAATCAGAAATACAATGAAGAATACGACGTTGCGCTACAAACTGGCGATTGTCTGTATTCAATCTCCGATTGAGACATTCGTGCACGTTGAATCGAATACACGAAGACTGATGGAATGTTTCCGACAGGACAGGGACGCATGAATCAATTGGGAGGCGTCTTCATCAACGGCCGACCGCTACCGAATCACATTCGCCTGAAAATTGTCGAAATGGCAGCGGCTGGAGTCCGCCCTTGCGTGATATCGCGACAACTTCGCGTCTCTCACGGCTGCGTTTCGAAAATTTTGAATCGCTACCAGGAAACTGGCTCCATTAGACCGGGCGTCATCGGTGGTAGCAAGCCGAGGGTAGCAACCCCTGAAATCGAGGCGAGGATAGAAGAAATGAAAAGGGACAATCCGGCAATCTTCTCGTGGGAAATCAGAGAAAAATTGGTGAAGGTAAGAAACACACGGTTTTGCAATTCGTTTTATTAGATCGACTTGAAAAGTTACTTCTGCCTCTTATCAATCATTCGTAATGTATTATCTTGTTTCAATCGAATAGAACGTTTCGTTAACGTAATACATATTAAATAATGAAATAATTAAATAGATAATTAAATTACAGGTATTAGGTGGTTGTACTTGAATTTCATAATTGTACGAAATTCCAACTACTTATATATTTTATTATATGTAGGTACTTAAACTGCAACTTAATACACGTTAAATTGCTTATTGGATATACGATTTAAGATAAGACAGGTTTAGAATAGATAATAAATATCGTCATAAGTAGAACACTGGAAGATGTATTAATCAAAGTTATTACCGCTAATAAATCCATTACGTTACTTGTAACTATTTATAATATAATATACATTAAGCTTCTTATAATTAGGTTTCCATCCTACTAAACGCTCTTAGAAAATACTTTGACAATGTTTCACCCTCTTTTGTTGAAACCTGCTTCATCCCGCAGAGGGCACAAAGCTTAATATCTACTGTAATACTCCATTAAATTCTAACTTTGATCGTCGTCAGCGATCGATATCCAAAGGCGTGACGACTGTTTTCCTCGTCACGTGCCTTCGATCTTACCGGGTAGAACAACAAAACGCTCGTTCTAAAAGATATTTTCAAAATTGTTTTTCTTAAGTAGCGACGCATGAGCTAAAGGACAATTCGAGCCACGCTGTTGTTTTGCCTCGGAGTAGCAACAGTGTTAGGATATACGTAACGTAATAACAAACCAACTCCGGGCAAAACAGTGTTGCCGCTACGTGTAACCGTGAAACAAAAACGAATGGAAGCTTTCCGATACTTCCCCGACCAATATAAATAAACGAACGCGATCGTAAGGTGACCAGTTTTTCGGTCTTAGTCTCGAGGGATTTTAATAGCGATCAATACACAGGCTTTAGAGAACCAGTTAGTACCGAGCGTCTTAGCGAACTTTCTCTGTATTCATTAATTATTTTTAAATAGATTTGACAATCTCGTCATTTAAACCACACAACCAACCATCCTCTACACTTAGATAGTTCTTTAGATCTGTCACTTAACACTTTAACTGCCACGTTGGTCATATATGACCCGCCACGATTTCTCCACGATGGTCATTGGTGACCGGAGAGCTTGAACTTCTTACAATTGTAAAAATCGAATGAAAGTTGACAGTTAGGGCATTTTGAATATAACCGACAAATAGAAGACACTTTGAAATAAAAAGTGCCGCATTGAACGATTAAACATTTTTATTGGAACATCGATAAAAAAAATGAGAACAAATCTTGCATCTAACGGTGCACTGTGTCTGCATCCATATCTCTGAGGGGTAATCTACGAATGTTATTATAAACACAGCTTAGAAAATAATCGTAAATGCTGCTTTTTAATCGTATAATCGAAGTTAGAAGTGTGCACATACCTTGCTATTACATATAGAACGAGCAAATACCGTTTACCAGTATCTTCTACGCGTTTCAACGATATATTCTGCACGTTTTGCCTACGACGAAATAACCAATGCGAATGGTTTGTTGAAATAAACGAAGCCTCGTTATAATACGTCGCTATCGACTGTTACCAAGGCGCCAGGGTGGTTACCCGTGACCACCAATAAGATAAACGGCCGATCGGGGAAGAATGTTGTCTTACATCGTCAATTTATTATTATTTTGCCATTATATGCTTTGAATAATAAAAATACTCCCGTTGCGTCCTCAACGAAACATGTGATTTCAGCGTGACAGTCAAAGTGTTAACATATGGGTCCTCGACACATTCACTGCCATACACGATTTGCATATATGTAGAGAAGTGAACGTGTCAGTATATAACAGCTAAAATCGACAATAAACCAATAGACAAATATGTCCACGAAAGATGCAAATGCTTGCGTCTAACGATAGAAACAGCTCTAGAACGCGTAACAGCTGACCGTACCGTCTCTGTACCGAAGTAGCAATTTCGCGGATCCAGTTTTCCACGGTGGAAAACGTTGAAAGGCGTCGTCGTCCGACCTCTAGATCGGGGGGTGGACGTTTCCGCAGGGTCCCTCTATCTCTCGAAAGATCGCGAGTGAGTGGGGCTTTTTAATCTTGTGCACGAGGCGTGCACGAGGTGGGCAGGGGTGTACGTGAGCGCCCCGAGGCGACTCGCGTGTCCTTTAATACGTTACTGCCCGCCGCCTACACCCACACCTCATTGGCGTAACGCTCCCTCGTTCGTGCTGCGATTTTCGAGTATGCAAAACGACTTTTCCAAGAATAGCCTCTTCCATGTGCGGCGTTTTATCTCGACACCTTGAGAAATCGTAAGCATCACCATGCGAACAGTCATGTTCCGGCTGGAACTTCGCGGAAGATAATAATTTCCTCGCTGAATGTTCGATAGAGAGGACAGTTAAAAAAAAAAGAAAAGAAAGAACGTGTAACGCGATTATACGAGGGCGTGAATCGTGTCCATGGCGTATAGGCTTCCAATCGTTCGTATTCGTAGGGATGTGAGATTGATATTAATCTTGGAACGCTTCGAGTATTATATGTATATTTTCATAGTTATACTCGTGTTATGTGATCTTCGAGCAATCGTGTGACCAGCTGTTGCGTTATACCTGTCACACGCCCCTGTATTTTAATCCCAGTGCAGAACTCCGTGTTCGTAGTTCAGGCGTTGCCAAAAATTATCCCGCTGAGTGGAAACTACCATCGTTGGTCTGTTGTCTATCATCGACACGAATAAAAACGTGGCTTTCGAAACAGGAGGATTTAAATCGTCAAACGAATTTGTTCGCAAATATAGCAAAAATTCCGAGAATGTAACGGAATAACGTGCCCCGCCTGGTTCGATCTAGCATTTGGTCACCGCTACAGGCTATTTCTACAAATAGTTCGAGACATTTCTACCTGATCGGTATCGCCCAGCAATCGATTTCTACCGAAATCACCGTAACGGAAATTCGATTAGCAGAAGCTGGATCGACGCTCTAAGAACATCCCTCAAGCTTCTAAGGTAAAATGAATACACGGCATGTTGCGTTCCCCGAAAACCATAGTCGCAGTTCGCGAACACCCAGAATTCAAAGGTGGCCGAAACGGGACCGGACCCGACCGCTGAAACCACTGATCGAGATATTCGGGTAGCGGTAGCACTCGCCTGGTAACATGAAAAAAAAGGCAGAACCAACCCCGCATATCTCTGCCGCGACGAAGATAAGGATCGCTATACGGTTCTCAATCTACGAGATGCCCAGGAAAAAATTCCATCCCTCCATTCCGTTTCGTCAAAACCAACGAAACCAATAGAACCGATCCATCGCGGAACCACGTGGTACAACCCAGGGCGATCGTCGATAGAGAGATAAATCCTTGGATGTTGGAAGAGGAGAAGGTTGCAGCTCGGTATACGCATCCTGCACAGGATCGACCGAGACAAAGAGAGGCAGAGAAGGGCAGGAGAGACGGGCTACGCGTGGAGGCAAAGCTGAGAGGCGGAGGACGAGGCCGAAAGAGGAAAAACGGTTTCGTGAACGCGTACGCCGTTGCAGAGTCGTGGAAGCGGGCGGTCGTGGCCGGCATTAATACGGCATTTAATGTTGGAAGGAGGCGTTCCTGGTGCCGAAGACCTGGGGCGGCATCCATCCTTCTTCATCCACCTTCTTACAACGTTTCTCTGCTCGTTCTTCGACAGAGAGGTTCGTCTCTCTCGCGCTGTCATCGCCCCGGACCTAAAGCCTCGACCGCCACCAACGGGCACAAGGATCGTTATTGTTTCTGAGATCGCCGATCCGAAAGATAGCCATCGACACCGGCGACCCTCTTTTTCGCTTTTTTCACCTTCCATCCCTTTTTACACCGACCCGGCTCTTTTACTCTTCTCGTCAGGCCTCCACCTTTCTCTTCATCTTCGTCGAATATACAGTCGAGGGCAAAAATAAGCGGACAGGTAGCGGGAATAGGTATTAACAGGTTTTCAATCGTTTACGAAATAATCTATGCACTAGCAAGATACATAGCAAACGAAACTCGAATACATAACACTAAGTAGTTGTTCGTTTAAAATTCATCGATACCTTGTTCCACTACCCTTCTTCCACTTATCTTTGCTCCGACTGTATGTATAGGGATGCGGTTCCTTCACCTCAGACCTAGGACGCTCTAGCCTCTTCTATTTTATTTGATCTCTTTTTTATTTCGATATATTCCTCAGGAATCTTCCTTCTTGCCCCCTCCTTCCTTTATTTTGTTCTGCCACCATCGATTTCTCGGTTTTCCTCGCGCTCCCCTTTAACCGTGTAAGATTTCGGATTATCTCTCGGGCTTCGTCGATGAGATAAGGAAGATCGATAAGCGGCGATATGGCTTGCAGATTTTCACAGATTTTCAAGATGCCGCCGGGTATGCGAGGTAATATGTATATGAGTATCGGCGTTTCGTTGCGGAGGTTGTGCGTGGTAGTAGGTCGGGATCTACGCTTCGTGAAGCGATAGAGGCATCGAGAGATTAAAGATCAGACGCTGTTTCGGCTTAACATTCGTAGGACGCGTCGATCGAAGAAGGATGATTTTGTATAATATCGAGAACTATGACATTTTGTAATCAAATATTTAGAATATATACCTATAGCGTATTATACCCTATGGTATCCTGTCGTTTCACTATGAATATCAAAGATCTTCCTTCTCGTTCCTACGCGAAATCATCGTCATTTTTCATAATACGTAATTCGTAAGTGTTTGAACAAATGGAGTGTCAATTAGGCATTTCTTGCTTTATATCGACGATGAAGGTATTTGATAGAATTTTAATAACTCAATTTGTTTTGCAAATGAAAAATGTGTTCTGCGAATTAAAAACTCGAACACTTTTATGGCCATACCCAACTACTGTTGCTATTATAATCGAAGGCTCTGTAATTTGCGCCTCGCTCGATTCACGCCTCTACTCCAGGAAAACGTTTATCGACGTTTATAGTCTATAAAATATGTCCGCAGCCTGTAGACGCTATTGGTATATTGATCTGTCTCAAAATTAAATACAGATTTTGTGACTATATTCATGAGGCTCGTAAAAAGGCCGTTTGGGTATGATTAACTTCTGGTAAATATTCGATTGCGATATCATAGGTTTATATCGGATAATTAGTTACATGCCACCGTTGCAAAATATACGGTTGAAATACGTAATTGATGGATTAGTCGTAAAATTTTAATCGGCTAATTCTACGTTAAAAAGTTGGTCGAATGTTACGACGATCGATAACTTTATGCGTTTCAAATAGTTGTGGTGTAAAATAAAACGTATAGGAAATTTGTTAAATACGATAATGAGACATATTTATCTTATATAATGAGACGTTCAAGTAATTATATCTACTTGTTTAAAGTATTAAAATATATATATCGAATTTTCAATTTGTCGAAGCTTGCTCTTTAGCAGAATGATTTATGCGATAATTACTAATTCTTAGAATAACGTAATTATGGTATTGCTTCCAGAAAAGAGAATATTAAATTTCCACCAAGTACAGATATTTGAATAGCCTGCTGGAAATAATTTCCAAATGCCTTCTACTATATCGTCTAATCCCACGAAGATTATTGACAAATGTTTGATAATTTACAATTTAGAATTTTTATGGAATAAAATATAACAAACAAAGCTACGCTCTTTGCCTGCGTTTAAAAACGCAGCATTAACAATTCCTTAAGTCTCCGAGTTTCTTAAGTCTTTCGACCAAAATAATCGTATCTAAGAATAAGCGGAGAAGGCTAGCAAAATTTGTAAAAGCCAGCGAATTTCGTAACGTGGAAGGTGCGTACAATTTCTAAAACGTACAAATTCTGACAGCTTTTTCGAGCAAATTTTCTGTGTCTCGTAGGTAAAAAAAGATTTCACGATCTATCCAACCGTACCATCGAAGAATTCAAGCGTAGTAAATACTTGCGCATAACGGTGCACAACGCGATGTGTAATAACGCTGAATCTCAGCGGCGCAAAATGTATATTTTGCTTTGAAAATGATCGCGCGAAATTGTAGTGCAGTAGGCTGCATTTGCAAATCGCAAATGCCAGGCAAAGTGCAACCCACGGCGCGCCGGCAGCGAGCTTGCATTGTTCTCGCGAATTAGTAATGAAAATAAAACGAAAAGGAGACATTAAATTTAGGATATATAGCTGTGATCGGGTTAAGTAATGACAAAGCAGATTTTCCACAAGATATCGATGGATCTCGTTTGAAATAATATTACCAGCAGTAGAATCTCGATTATCGGCACATCGATTAAGAATGGAAGATTTATTTTGTATTTTATCGTTAAGATATTTATTCTGTTGCTAATCGTCGACGAAATTTCGTTCAAGCAGGAAGGTTTCTCAGACCCTCCAAGTGTCAGCTCCATCAGCAGGTTACTTCGCGGTGGACGACCTGGTGATGATGGGAAAAAGGACTACACCATCGATGGTATACTAGGCGGCGGTGAGTACACGATTAGAATTTAGTATATAAAATTGATTTCAAACTTAGTGTAACTCTTTGCATTAAACAGAGACATTCGAACGATTGCTTTAAACTCATTTTCTTCGTCACACAGTTTGCGAGTACCACAGACGACAACTGGGAATATCAAACTACCAAAAATTTCCAATAACTGTCGCTAGAGCTAACTACGATGTTTACTATATTTTCCCTTGCATATTCATTTCACTGAGATAACTAAAGATTCTCCTTTTTTTATTATTTAATTTATACTTTACAATTTGTTCAGCTAGACATTTGGTAAATTTGTCTAACTTAATTGCTGAACAACATGTGGGATACCATCTTCGGGTTTGTTTACTTTATTTCTTCAGTGAGGTCAGTAGGGTGTTTTCTTTTTACTCTTCTTTCTATGGGTGTAAAGATTCCCTTGACAACAAAAATCCTCGCCACATCATCCGTGCAATTTTCCTCTATCTACTTCGCCAAAGCAATCAAGCTATCGAAGATAATCTCTACGACAATCTTAGCCCCAAACTCGAACCTCGCTACAGAACAATCGTCTCAAGATTCGATCGTATAACTGAAACGCGAACATCGCGATTCCACAAGATACAGAAAGATACAGCGTCGTAGGACGTGGCGCGCGTCATCGACGTGTTAATTATTCATCTGGCCGGAGGAAGGAAAAACGCGTGGATAGAAACTTAGAGACAGAGAATGACGACGAGTGATAAAACGTAAAAAAGAGAAGACGTGGTAGCGATGCGGGACGATATCGCGAGGCGAAAGACGAAAAGAAAGAAGAAAAACACGGCCGCCGATCCATCGTCGGAGGGCATCAAGAGCTTTTAACCTCTGCTGTATCTACGAACGAAGTTTGACGTACGCGAGCGTGTGTACAGGACTTTAAGTCCGGTCCTACGTCGTCGGTTAGGCCAAGTTAGTCCGAATGAGCCGGGAAGCCTTCAGGATTTAATCTTCGGTGGGCGTGAGCAGGATTAGCCAGGTTGCCCACACGTCCGACAAACGGATTACAGGAGTGTCAATATCTTACGGGGCACGCATTATCCCTCTTCTTCTTCGTCTTCTTCGTCTTCGTCTTGTTCTTCTCCTTTCTTAGTCTTTCTCGTCGTTTTTCTCATTTCATTCGCGATCCGTGCACTCCCCTTTTCGAGACTTCCTTCTTCAAGTTCTGAAGGATTATTTTTGCCCGTCTTCCCTCTTATTCTTCTTCGCGGATATGTATCAGAAAATGGAGCAAATTACAGAGACACGCGGTGATTGAGTCGATGGTCCATCGCGGATGTTTACGTATTTAAAAATATACAGATCTTTCTCTTAGCCATATACCATATAAAATGGAGCAAATTATTGTAAATACGTATAACGTACGAGTTAAAGATGTATATGTATTTCATAGAAAATTCTTAAGCGCGGAAACGTAGAGAATATTCGATAAGTTACCCGAATAAAATATTCTATAAACGAAATCTGTTTAAAGTTGCAAAAATATGCAAGATCGAAGAAATTATTTAATCGAGTATAATGAAAAAATAGCTAGAAAATAACTTATTCTCAAGATAAGTGAAACGGCGCGTGAAAAGATGAAAGATCTCCAAACGAAGAAATCAGAAATTGTACGTGATCGATGTAAGAAACTGATCCTACTTACAAGTCAATTTCGTCCTGCCCATCTGATCGATCAAATAGCCAGGAAAAAGAAACTCAAGGACGAGAACGTTCCGTTCGTATGTAGCATAGAAACAAGGTATATCCTCGTCGATTAACATCCAGCGTGAAAAATACTACAAAGCCAATGTTCCCCACCAATCTGCTGCAACAAAATTCCTCCACGAGTATCAAGCACTCAAACACGATTTCAGGCGACATCGAGTCACTGCCCGTTGACACGAGGCGGGAATTTGTTTTCGTGAGTGATACAGGTAGACAAGGAGGAATTAGCGGTACAGGTGTTCCGAAGTCTTAAAAGTCGGGACCGTCAGGCGCGTTGCCGCGGTCAAGAAGGGAGGCAGAAAGAGAGACGATTGAACGTGGAGAGAGACAGCTTCTCATAAATAAAAATAGTCTGCGCGAGCGAGGGAGGAAACGGAAAGAGGACGAGAGACGAAGAAGAAGCAACGGACAAGGAAAGAGACGAAGAGGGAAGACATGGTGGAGGAAGAGACGCGCGTATACGTGCGTTTATTTTTAGAGAGAAAACGAGAGGGAAACGGGCCCAGGAGAAGAAGGTGGGAGAAGAACGGCTAGATCCTTCGATCGTGGATCTTGGAGAATGCGAGGAAAGAGGCGAGAGGCAAAGGGACTGTAGGGCCCTGCGAGGGTCCCGCGGAGATCAAACGGGCCGCCTGCCACACGTCGGCAGTGGTGCTCATTTACGGACCCCCGTAAGCACCGTGACACCTTGCAATGCAGCCTATTGATGAATAAGTTTCATGCGAGTCTCTCGACGTGTTGGCTTTCGACGGCTACGAAGAAAAGGGGCTGGAAATGAAAAGACAATGGAATTTTTTCGTTGTCGATGCAGTGTAGCTGTGAACAAGGTCTTTTGAAAATGACGAAAACGATGATTATCTTTAATCAGTTGAAAACGCCACGCCGTATTATTTTTCTCCAGCGATTGCAAAATATCAGATGAGAATTGTATCGGGTAACGTCTTCTTTCTGATAATAACGTTAACTAGAATATTCGTTGCGAGGACTACATGGAATATGAACGTAAATGAATCTGCATAATTTTCAAGATACACGACACGTTAGAACCTTCTTTGAACCAAGCGTCAGATAATAATTTATTTGGAAAGAAGGAACAAAGGTTGCTACGTCTTGTTCGCGATTCAACGCTTGCCCGTAGCAGTAAATGGAAAGAATCTAATGAAATTACGTGAATCGCTGCTAATGTTGTAGACGCAGTACCGTTAATATATTGAGCGTCGAAGAAACCGCGTGGACGAAGATCGATTAGAGCATTAATTGCCTACTCCATTGAAAATAGATCTGATCTAGCCGATGTAACGACCAGTTAGACGTGAAATGATTAATAACGGCGTAATTGTAAATATAATAATGGATATTCAATGGAAATACATCGAGTATAATTTACATAATTAGAAACAGTCATCTAATAGATAATGAAAGATCTAAATAATCCAAGAACGAATAAGCTACTTACGAATTTCAGATTGGATATGGTGTTCGACGTAGCCCTGAAAGAATAATTACTCGAATAAAAGCTACACCTCGACGTAAAGAAATATTTAAATATAATCCGACGTTTAACTGCTAACTGATCCGCAAGTACCTAAACGACACGAATATTAATAAAGCTGTTACGATTAACGTTAAAGTATGTTAATCAGATGCAACGTTGGAGATAGGGGTAAATGAATATTAATAAAATGCGAAGCGGAACAGGTGTAAAGCCATCGAGGGCTGTTGTTGAAGCGTTTCGTGAACGAAGTGTTACGGACCGCTTTAAAACTGAACCCCTCAATTACAGATATCCATCGGCATAGACCGTGCTCGAGCATTCATCGTCCCTGCAAATGACCGTCGTTGATGTTTAATACCTTTTAATTAAAAGTTAATCCATCAAACTTCTTTCTCGTGCACGGCGATCTCGCGAGAACGCTTGTAATTATCACGTTTAATCGTCGCTGGGGTTGAGCGATCGCTAAACCCAAATTAAATCGCCTACACGGACATTTTAGAACTCAGAAATTAGCGTCCATCAATTTGCAAAATTTTTAACGCAAGGTGTGACAAACTTTCGTTTCGGTAGCTCAGTCTTCTTTCGTCAATCTAACGTTGCGTAGGAATTCTTCGATTCCGCCCGCGTCGTTTTCTGATTCAATTCGAAACAGTAATGTGGGTGAATTAGGAGAAATACATGGAAAGGAGTAATTTGTTTAGGAAAGGAATAAATTATTCTCTGATATAGTGGTACAACTGCTATAGTTTACTATCGAGAGATAGTACATTCGCAACTTTTAACGTTTCTTGAACGAAACCAATAATCGTGCGGTGTTTTGAATTAGCATATCGAAATAGATACTAAACTAACCAGTGGAAGGCACTAGAACCCATAAACTATCAATTTGCTTGTATTATAACTGCCACACCCGTGGGTGGTGCCTATGGAAATTCAACGACTAAAACATTAAAAGTGTTGAAATAAGACTGGAATTGCAACGTACAAATTTGAAGATCACAGATAGATAGGACTAAAGATTCTGTCAACGGTACCATTTTCCTTCCTGGATGCGGCGAATTGTATAGATCGCTTGCTAGCTTCCAATACCTTCACACAGTGCAAATATGTGCAGCCCATTGCATAACCATTACGATCCAAGAATCACTATCCCATGTAGCATCCTACTCGCTGCACTGTAAGTTCAAACTCACCACGCGCACAGATCCCTCGAATCTAGAAAAATATAATACAAATAGTCCGCGTCTCTGCTACCTTCGAAAACGCTTTCACTCAAATCCTAAACATCCACGCGAAGAAAATCACCGTTACGTAATATTTGCAATATCAATTACGAATGTTTGATAGAATTTCCAACAAATGCGAATAGCAAAGGTAGATAAAATGGAAAAAATAAAAAAGACGATTTCAAATGTCTAACTGGTAGTACAACCGCGATCAATTTTTATACGTTGTTTCACTGATGATCCGAATCGTCCGATTTTTATGCATAGTAAGCGTTTCGACGCTGGAGAACAGGGGTGTACGCGGATTCGCGCTACGCAGAGAAAGGACAATGGACGAATTCCAGCGCGGATGGCGAAGGAATACGAGAGAGCGGTCGTGATAGGGAGCACCTCTGAACGGATATACTCGTACAGCTCGGCCACGAAGGTGTCGGCCGAGTATAGGTGTCGGCAGGCGAGCAGGAATGACACGTAGCCTGTGGCTTTCTCATTCCTTCTTATTCCGTTCCTTTGGCCGAGGCCGCCGACGAGGGATTAGCCTA